AGAGGAAGAAGAAGAACTCTCTCTCTCTCTGTATCCAGTACTAACCTGTGAAGTTGGCGCCTTGATGCAGGTACCACGAAGATGGAGCTGGAGCGATGGCGCCACAGGTAAGTAACACTGGCCTCCGCCAGTCTCTCTCCCACTCTATGATCTACTACCTATCAGCGCCCAGCGCTGAAGACTACAGCTACAGCTATGGCGCCCAGCGCCGAAGACTACAGCTAGCGCTACCACTACTGCCTAGCGCTGAAGACTACTGCAGCGCTCCTCCTGAGTGCTGCGGCCGAATCCTGAAGATTACTACTGCCTACTGACACTACCTACCCGTGAAGTGCATGGGACCCTCCTATGTACTATGGGTGTGCCTCTTGAGTCTGCCGAAGGGAGGCAGGGGCTGCAGCTGCAGCTCCTGCTCGAGCACGTGAGGAACAGGCTATTTTGGGCCTGTTCCGCATCCCTGTTTCCGTGCCTGAGTCTTAGGGGCAGGTCGAAACAATGAGGGCCTGAAAATGGCCCTCCGTTTCAGGCTGAAAACTCTGGGTCTGAAAAGACCCAGAAATAGGCTGAAACGAGGTAGGGCCTGCAGGCCCTCGTTTTTTTCAGCATCCAGGCTGAAACGATCGGGGCCTGTGAGCCCTAAGTTTTAGGCTTTTAGGCTGAATGTCCGGGACGGGCCCTGCAGGGCCTGTGTGCTACGCAGTATGCCACACCCACACCTTCTTGAAGAACCGAGCTTACCTGTGAGGGCGAAGCTGTCTGTCTGAGGGAGGGACCACAGTCCGGGTGGGAGGGGCTGGTCGTGAAGCTTCCTGAGCTAACCTGCGCTTTTCATAATGCGCGTAGATCAGCGGTGCGGATGCTTTCAAATCTGCGCCTGATATCCACCTAGTGTCGTCGCGATCGCATGCTTTGAATGTGACTTTATACTGCCGCGGCTTGCTGCCATACTTGCGATCGGAGATGACGCGGTCAACTTCCTGATGGCCATCCATAGAAGGAGGGTCCTGCGATCGTCGGTCCGGAAAGTCGTCGCTCTTGGCTGGCGTGTAAGTTGCCAGCTTCGGGGCGTGGAAGACCGGTTGGACCGTCAGATGCTCTGGAATGTTGATCACAAATGAAGGGCCATCGGGCTCATCGCCCACGGCTGCTGTCACAGACCAAGGTCCAAACCACTTGGGAAGCAGTTTGCGTGAAACATCCTGTTCCAGTGCAAACTCTTCCGCGGAGACCCAAACCAGATCACCGGCGTGGATGGGACATGGTACGCGACGCCAGTTGGCTTGCTGCTGCATGCGGACTTGAGCCTTTTGCATATTTGCGCGGGCTTGAGTCAGCAATTCCCTGTACTTCCGGATGGAAGAGGGAGAGAAGGCAGCGTCAATGTCGGTTGGTCGAGGGAGGAGAAGGTCGGCGAAGATCCRKCCTTTCCGTCCACCGTGGTGCAACTCGAATGGAGTCACGCCGATCGCCGGATGCACCGAAGTGTTGTAGGCGAACTCGATGTCGGGGAGGCGGTCAACCCAATCTTCTGGTCTGGACGAATGAGCGTACGAAGCATCATTTGAACGGTCTGATGTGCCCGCTTCGTCTGTCCGTCCATCTGAGGGTGTCGAGCCGAACTTGGTTTCATTGTTGTGTCGGACTCCTGCATGAGTGCAGTCCAAAACGCTGACATGAAACGAGTGTCGCGGTCGTTGACAATGTCTTCTGGTACACCGTGGCCACAAATCCAACCAGTGTGCAGGAGGCGTGCCAGCTCGGGAGCCGTGAAGTAGTACTTGGAAGGGAGAAAACGTGCGTACTTACTCAATCGGTCCACAACCGTGAGGATGCCGTCGTGCCCGAGCCGGTCGCGAGGAAACGGACCGGTGACGTCCATGGCAATGGAGAGACCGGGTTCCCGTGGGATGGGCATCGGGTGTAACCTTGCCGTAGGGATTGCGGTTGCGGGGCTTGCTGCGTCGGCAAACTTCGCAAGAGTCGCAATACCGAGTGACATCGGTAATGAGGTCGGGCCATCGGAATCGCTGTCGAAGTCGTGCAATAGTGCGGTTAACTCCGAAATGGCCGGCGAGTCGTGAATCATGGTACTCGCCGAGGAGGCGAGTCCGAAGACGACGRTCGCGTGGGACACATAGTAAGCCCTTGCCTCTCGAGTGGAGGAGCAAGTACCCGTCGGCAATGCGGTAATGGCTGGCCGGCGGGTGATCCGAAGATAGTTGTGCATAGAGCGTGGCGAAGTCCGGATCAGCCTGATATGCCCGGATGAAGTGTCGCTGAAGCTCCTCGTCGAATGTGAAGGCATGATGTGTCATAGCGCAAAGATTAGGTCTTCGTGAGAGTGCATCTGCTGCGCGATTGGAGAAGACGGGGACATGCTTTGGTGTGAAGTCAAATTGGTCGATGAAGTACATCCATCGTCCGATCGTGCTGCTCACCGTGTCCTGCGTCTTGTAGTAGGTCAATGGATTGTTGTCTGTGATCCATGTGAACCTACGACGCCCAAGGAGGAAGTGCCGCCAGCGTTTGAGAGTCATCACGAATGCGAGCAGCTCCTTCTTCCTTGCATCATCAAGCGAGTTGATGGGAGGCACTTTGTGGCTGAAATACTCCACAGGGTGCCAGTCATCGCTGTCGTGTTGTTCCAAGACTGCCCCAATGCCATAGCCGGAAGCGTCCGTAGTCACTCGCGTCGGCAGGGTGGGGTCATAGATGCTAAGGATGGGTGCCATGAGCATAGCCGTCTTAAGTGCTAGGAATGACCGGCGTGCGTCGTCATCGAATACGAATGGCACCTTTGGCAATTGTAACCTCGGCGTAGGTGCAGCAATCCTGGAGTATCTGGTGATGAATCGCTGATAGTAGCCCGCCAACCCCATGAATGAACGAACGTCCGTGGTGATGGTGGGCTCGGGCCATACTCGTAGGGCCTTGATCTTGTCCGCAAGCGGACGGATGCCTTGCGGCGTCACATAGTGTCCCAAGTACTCCAGCTCCTGCTGTGTGAACTCGCACATGTCGCGGTTTGCTTTGTACTTGGCCTATCGTAGCCGCTCCAAAACGGTGCGCAAGTGTTCCACATGCTCGTCCAGACTTCGACTGTAAACCAGAATGTCGCCGAGGTAGATAAGTACGAAACGATCCAGCATGTGTCGGAACTCCGTCGTCATAGCCAGGGTTGTCAACCCCCGGGCCCGGGGCCCCGGCGGGGGTCCCAGGGGTCGGGGGTCGGCACCCCCGACCCCGGAAAAATAAAGGCATAAAAAAAAAAATCGGAAAAAAATTCGAAAAAAAAATTAAAAAATATCGGGGGGTGCGCACCGACGCCGCGCATCCCCTGGCAATTTCTGGTTTTTCCAGAAATTGGGGGTCCTTCCCCCCCCCCCCCCGGGG